CTATGGGTGAGAAAATGAAAAATGAATGACCATCAGACAAGTGTTCATAAACAAAATGATCAGACACCATAAAGTAGGTGCTCTCAAAAATCCCTTCAATAACATTCCATGTGTCTAAGTTTACTTTTAATTCATCAATAGGTATTTCTCAAGGATCAGTCAGGTGCCTAGCACTGTACTATCTGCTCTATGGCAGACACAGAGGTGCGAGCCTTAGGTACCTGCTGTCAAGCATTGTTTCAGGTGCATGCCATCTTCTTATGAGAAATGAGATGATTAGACCTCATGTTATTGGTTGAGAAGAAACATAATGCAGAAGAAGGGACATTTGATATGGGATCAGAAGAACTAGGTTTAAATATCTTTTCTGCCACTTTAACAGCTCAAATACACCCCCTTCTCTACTCTCATACTGCCACCACCATAGTGCAAGCCTTCATCACCTCACGCCTGGACTATTGCAATACTTTGCTGGTGGGTCTACCAGCCTCACGTCTCTTCTTTTCTAATCCGTCCTTCATCCTAAAACCAAAGTTATTTTCCTAAAGCACATGAGATCATGTAACCCCCATACTCAAGAAACTCTCATGCCTCCCTATTAGCTCCAAGATCAAATGAAAAATCCTCTGTTTGTCATTCAAAGCCCTTCATAACCCCCTGCTACTAACACCCACTTTTCTAATCTTCTTATAATGAATTCTTTACCAGGTACCCTTTGATCCAGCGATGTTGACCTCTTGGCTGTGGCTCAAACAAGACATTCCATCTCTCAGCTCTGGACATTTTCTCTGGCTGCCCCCTGTGCCTGGAATTCTCTCTCCTCAACTCAGCCTACTGACTTCTCTAGCTTGCTTCCACTAAAATAACATCTTTTACGATAAGCCTTTCCTGACACTTTTAAATTCCAATGCCTTCTCTTATTAATTATTTCCTATTTATCTTGTATATAGCATGTTTGTACATATCCATTTGCCTGTTTCCTACCCCAACAGATTGTAAGCTCCTTGTGGGCAGGGAGTATCTTTTGTCTCTCTTTGTATCCCTAGCACTTAGCACAGTGCCTGGCATATAATATGCATTTAATAAATGCTTATTGACTGATTAATAGCTGTGTGATATTAGTCAGGTCACTTAAACTCCTCAAGTTTGTTTTTTTATCTGTAAAATGGGAATAACAATGTTAAAACTATGAAAAGCTTTTTCTGCATCTATTGAGATGATCATGTGGTTTTTGTTGGTTTTGGTGTCGATATGCTCAATTATGCTGATAGTTTTCCTAACACTGAACCAACCCTGCATTCCTGGTATAAATCCTATCTGGTCATAGTGTATTACTCTTGTGATAAGTTGCTGCAATCTATTTGCTGGTATTTTGTTTAAAATTTTTGCATCTATATTCATTAGAGAAATTGGTCTATAATTTTCTTTCTCTATTTTGACTCTTCCTGGTTTAGGTATCAACACCATATTTGTATCATAAAAAGAATCTGGTAAGACTCCTTCTTCACCTATTTTCCCAAATAGTCTATATAGTATTGGAATTAATTGTTCTTTAAATGTTTGATAGAATTCGCATGTAAATCCATCTGGCTCTGGAGATTTTTCCTAGGGAGTTCATTAATGGATTCTTCAATTTCTTTTTCTGAGATGGGGTTATTTAAGTATTTTACTTCCTCTTCGGTTAATCTGGGCAATTTATATTTTTGTAAATATGTATCCATTTCACTAAGATTGTCAAATTTGTTGGCATATAGTTGGGCAACATAATTCCTAATTATTGTTTTAATTTCCTCTTCCTTTACCCATTCCTATTAAAAACACTAGAAAGCATAGGTATAAATGGAGTCTTCCTTAAAATAATAAATAGCATATATCTAAAACCTTTAGCAAGCATTATATGTAATGGGGACAGGCTAGAAGCATTTCCAATAAGATCGAGGGTGAAACAAGGATGTCCATTATCACCACTGTTATTCAATATTGTACTGGAAACATTAGCTTTAGCAATAAGAGAAGAAAAAGAAATTGAAGGCATTAGAATAGGCAAAGAAGAAACAAAGCTTATCACTCTTTGCAGATGACATGATGATATACTTAGAGAATCCTAGAGAATCAAGTAAAAAACTACTTGAAATAATAAACAACTTTAGCAAAGTTGCAGGCTATAAAATAAACCCACATAAATCATCAGCATTTCTATATATTACCAACAAAGCCTAACAGCAAGAGATAGAAAGAGAAATCCCATTTAAACTTACTGTAGACATTATAAAATATTTAGGAGTCTACCTACCAAAACAAACCCAGGAACTCTATGAACACAATTACAAAACACTTTTCACACAAATAAAATCAGATCTAAATAATTGGAAAAACATCAGTTGCTCATGGGTAGGCCGAGCTAATATAATAAAAATGACAATCCTACCTAAGCTAATTTACTTATTCAGTGCCATACCAATCAAACTACCAAAAAATTATTTTATAGAGTTAGAAAAAATAATAACAAGATTCATTTGGAAAAACAAAAGGTCCAGAATATCAAAGGAACTAATGAAAAGAAATGCAGGGGAAGGTGGCCTAGCAATTCCAGATCTTAAATTGTATTATAAAGCAGCAATCATCAAAACTGCTTGGTACTGGCTAAGAAATAGGGAGGTGGATCAGTGGAATAGGTTAAATATGCAAGACACAGTAGTCAATGACTATAGTAATCTATTATTTGATAAACCCAAAGACCCCAGCTTCTGGGATAAGAACCCACTCTTTGAAAAAAACTGCTGGGAAAACTGGAAAAGAGTATGGCAGAAACTAGGCATAGACCCAAGTCTCACACCATATACCAAAATAAAGTCAAAATGGGTTCATGACTTAGATATAAAGGCTGATACCATAAGTAAACTGGGAGAACAAGGAATAGTTTACCTATCAGATCTGTGGAGAACAGAAGAATTCATGACCAAACAGGAGATAGAGAACATTATGAAAAGCAGAATGGATAATTTTGATTACATTAAATTGAAAAGTTTTTGCAAACAAAGCCAATGCAACTAAGATTAGAAGGAAGGTAGAAAATTGGGAAAGAATTTTTACAACCAGTCTCTCTGATAAAGGCCTCATTTCTAAAATATATAGAGAATTAAGACAAATTTATAAGAAACAAGCCATTCCCCAATTGATAAATGGTCAAAGGATATGAACAGACAGCTCTCAGATGAAGAAATTAAAGCCATCTATAGTCATATGAAAAAATGCTCTAAATGTTATTGATTAGAGAAATGCAAATCAAAACAACTCTGAGGTACCACATCACACCTATCAGATTGGCCAACATGACAAAAGAGGAAAATGATAAATGTTGGAAGGATGTGGGAAAATTGGAACGCTAATACATTGTTGGTGGAGTTGTGAAATGATCCACCATTTTGGAGAACAATTTGGAACTATGCCCAAAGGGCTACAAAAATGGGCATACCCTTTGATCCAGCAATAGCACTTCTAGGGCTATAACCCAAAGAGATCAAACAAATGGGAAAAGGACCCACATGCACAAAAATATTCATAGCAGCTCTTTTTTTGTGGTGGCAAAGAATTGGAAATTGAGAGAAGGTCCATCAGTTGGGGAATGGCTGAACAAGTTGTGGCATATGAATGTAATGGAATACTATTGTGTTATAAGAAATGATGAACAGGCTGACTTCAGAAAAACCTGGAAAGACTTCTGTGGTCTGATGTTGAGTGAAGTGAGCAGAACCAAGAAGACTTTGTACACAATAACAGCTACGTTATGCGATGACTAATGTTGTTATACTGAACCCTTCTTAGCATTACAAGGATCTAAGACACGTCCAGAGGCCTTGGGATGGAAAATGCTGTCCACATCCAAAGAAAGAACTATGGAAGTTGAATCGCCATCATTTATTTTTACCTTCTGTTGAGTTTTGCTTCATCTTTCTGATGGTTCCTCCTATTGGTTTTAATTTTTACTTACAACTTCACTAATGTGAAAATATGTTTAATGGGTATGTAAATGTAAAACCTATGTCAGATTGTGTGCCGTCTTGGGGAGGGTGGGGGGGAAGAAGGGGAAGAAAAATTTTCACCTCAAAAGCATATGGAAGTGATTGTTGATAAATCAAAATAAATTAATAAAATTTTAAAAAAACAATGTTAAAACTATCTAAATCATAGCGCTGTTGTGAGGTTCAAATATGAAACTATTTGCAAAGTCCTTTGCAACTATAAGGCTCTCCATAAATGTGAACTATTTAGTTCTCAAAGTGTGGTCTAGGGATTCTGGGGAGACCCCAAGATCCTTTTAAGGCATCTATGAAATTAAAACTCTTTTCACAATAACATTAAGTTTTTTAAAATGTTTTTAAGATTTTTTTTAACATAGTACATAATTCAGAGTTGGTGAACCTACGGCCTCAAGGGCCACATGTAGCCTTCCAGGCCCTGGGGTATGGCCTTTTGACTGAGTTAAAGTTTTACAAAAAAATCCTTTCATTAAGAGGATTTGGTCTGTGAAATTTGGATTCAGTCGAAGGGCCGCATTTGAGGACCTAGAGGGCCATGTGTGACCTCAAGGTTGCTGGTTTACCACTCCTGGACATATCAATATGGTATGTGTGTGTGCATGTACACGTACACACACACACACACACACACACACACACACACATATAATTTTTAAATATAGCATAAATCAATAGCTATAGACCACATAAACCAAAGCTCTTCAAGGGATAGCAATACTTTTTAATAAAGCAAAGGAGTCTTGAGATCAAAAAAAAAAAATTGAGAACCATGTCCTTATAGGATAAGGCATGATCTCTGAAGATCCTTCCAATGCTAACATTCTATTTGGCCCAAGATCCCTTCTAGCATGAACAATCCATGTTCTACATTGTAAGTTCCTTCCCACTCCAACATTCCATGGGTGCACTGGCTGCTTATAAGGTATCACTGTGGAGAAACAAAAGGAAAGAGGTGATTACCATTGCTTTAAGCAGTTGCCACTGGTGCTCATCTTGACATTGAGAGGAGCTCTTTTCCAGGATGTACTGTTCTTTTAGCTCCTGAAGAAGACTCTTCTTTCTGGACACTCTCATCTGAGTCATTGTGGCAGCAGCAATATTCCGGAGGGAGAGTCTTCTGAGGATTGAACTTAGTATGAGCTTATGTTTCTGTGATATGAATCTTCTTGACCTGTGGAAGGCACCGTGTTTTAATAACCATTTCCACATTCAGTATTTTGAAAAACAGACACACAGACAGACAGACATACACACACACACACACACACAAGCACGAATTCATGTATAATCACAATGGCCTGGGTGAGTTTCAAATGAAGGCATACACTTTTGGGTGAGATGTCAGAAACATGCAATGTCAATTCTAAAAGGCAGTAAACCCATATTTCTAGAAACATGACCGCCTAATGATATGCACACTAAATTATGGCATGAGGAGAGGTATGAGCCTTTTTTGTTGTTCAGTAGTCGCTGTCATGTCTGACTCTGTGACCTCATCTGGGGTTTTCTTGGCAAAAATGCTGGAGATGGCTAGTTACAACATGCCATCTTGATCAAATCATTCCCTTTCTCTTTAGATTCCTCATCTGTAAATTCCTTTCTAGCTCTATGTTTCTACTATTTGTATCCATATCTTATCTTCCTTACTTGATTATAAATTAAGTGAAAGTTGGGAGTTTACCTCATCTATTTTTCTATCTCCCCCAGAGACTAACACAGTTCTTTACATACAGAGGGTGCTTAATAATTGCCCATTAATTCTATTTTAGGACTTCAGGGAAGGCATGATTCTTAGCTTTTCATTTAAGTTCATCTCTTGAGTCATTGGTACACATTCTTAAGACTCCCAAGGTGGGCAGCCATGGTTCTCACGCATTGCTTTCTCTCATTGTCAGTATGCACAGAACACTCTTTCAGAAATGGAAACCAGAAATCAAGCTGAGTGGTGTCCATGACTCAGATGAATTTCTGTATACTGCTATCATTCAGTCGTCTGAGTCATGTCCAACTCTTCACGACCCTTTACAGGGTTTTCTTAGCAGAGGTACTGGAGTGGTCTGAGACCCTTTCCTTCTTCAGCTCATTTTACAGATGAGGAAACTGAGGCAAACAGGATTAAGTGACCCTGGCCAGGGTCACAAAGGTAGTAAGTGTCTGAGGCCAGATTTGAGCTCAGAGAGACAAGTCTTCCTGACTCTAGGCCCAGCACTCTACCCATTATAAAACCAAGCGGCCCATCTGAGTGCTAGACAGAATCTATTCTTACGCCTTGTCTGCTTGCTCACTCTGCTTTGGCATCACAGTTTAGAGAGACACTAGCACTGGGACACCAGTCTCGTGTGTCTATACAATATCACATACCACAATGACCAGGGAGAGCAGGAGATCTCAAGGATGCTGCAGGATCCCAGGTTTTATATTCATTATATTTAATCTTTGTTCTTAAGCTGCATGTGCAATAATCACAAAACTCCCAGGGCCTGCAGACTGTCTTCTAGTTCTCCATGCCACATACAACAGGGACCTGGCTTCTTTGTGATGCCCCTACATGATTACTTTTTGAATGTGAATCAGTTCTTCCCTTTTTGTAGCTGCCCTGGAATAGTGAAAAGTAAAGTGGGGATCTTACTGTTCAAGCAGTAGCACCTGTATTCTCCCCTGAGCCCTGATCAGACTTTCAGTGTCCCCATCTTTAGACTTGTACTCACTCTTCACTGAGACCACCCAGATGGCATAGCACTCCATGGATGATGCTCTCGTGTTTCTCCAAAAAGTGTTTCTGCATGATGGCGGACAAGGCATACTCTTCAGTCCACAGCTAAACAAAGGAAACAAAACTGGTAAGTTTTCTTTAAGAGTTAGAAAGACAGTGTGTAAGTAGTAGTAGAAAGCAAGTAAGTAGTAAGTAGAAAGAACAATGGCCTTAAGAGTCAAGACCTAGGTTTGGATCCTGGCTCCATCACCTACCAGATCCAGTTTCCTCAACTATATGTAAAAAATGATAAAAATATTCGGACTACAGTTCTTATGTTAGAAGCAATAGAGCAAAGTGGGTAAGATGCTGAATTTGGATCCCAGAAGCACTGGGCCTGAATACCAATTCTTAGATGTGTGACAATGGACAAGTTACTTCTGTGAGCCTCAGTTTCCTCATCTGAAAAAAGGTGTAGTAATATCTGTACTGCTTATGTATTAGGACTGCTGTATGGCTCAAATGATATAATACATAGAAGGTGTTATGATTTTGTGAAGAAAGCACTCTGTAAACCTTTAAATGCTAGGGAAATATTACTATTATGAACATTAACAAATCCACAAACATTCATTAAATACCTACTATGTGTAATGATGGTTGTGATTATTATCCCAAATTATCTTCTAAATTATCATTAGAGCAACACCTCATGTATCCATGAGTCACATAGCCAGCCAGCCTTATTTATTTAAAGGACAGGGAAGCTATCAGAGTTGTACCATGGAAATATTTTTTAAAAATTGAAAATAATGTGAAAGATAGACATGGTGGGATAGTGGAAAGACCCCTTTGATTTTAGGTAAGGAAAACAGGGTACAAGTCCTGGCCTTGCTGTTTTCTAGCTGTGTCATCATAAGCAAATCATTTAAACTCTTTGAACCTCAGTTTCTTCATCTATAAAAATGGGAATCTTAAGAGACATGTGGCCTACTGCACAGGGTTATGGTGAAGAAGGTACTTTGTAAGCCATAAAACATGACATAAATGGGATGTAGGGTATTTCATTAGCTATAGACTCACTGGATGAGGAGTCTGATGACAAGGTATCTTCATTTGGGTCATGGTAATAGCTATAGTCTGGAAATAGAGTGACATCAAAGCTTTCCTGAGTTTCAAAAAATATAAAATTGATGAGGTAATACTCAGGTACTGTTATTATTCTTATTGGGATGTAAGCTCCTTGAGAGTAAGGCATTATTGAATTCTTTCTATTTGTATCTTTAATGTCTAGCACTGTGCCTGGCAAATAGGAAATGTTTGCTGATTGATTCTGGCTTATCCTAAATAACTTGTGAAAATTTGTACCTACCATAGTCAGGCTATCTAAGTGTTTTGATTAAAGGCCAAATCACGAATACTAGGAGTGTTCATCTGAAAAGTGCCTGGATAAACTTGGAAGAGTAAAATGCTAGAGCAGGAAGGTACCTAAGGACATAGAGTCCAGAATCCAAGAAATGAAAGGGGCCTCAGGAGATAGATTATAGACAATTAGAGTTACAAACAATCCCAGGACACAGAATATAGAATATTAGAATGAAAGAACCCTTAGAGTTTAGAAACAGAAAAGGTACCTTAGAACATAGAATGTTCAATATAAAAGGGACCTTGGGACAGACACCTCACTTATGGAAGGGACTTTAGGAGATCAAACAGTTCTGCATGGGTTTTATACATGATACAACTGAGTCCCAGAGCAGGGGAAGTGACTTGCTCAAGGTTTATTTGGTCATTTTAGTTGTGTCTGACTTTCCATGACCCACTTTGGGGTTTTCTTGGTGAAGATACTGGAGTGGTTTGCCATTTCCTTCTCTAGCTCATTTTACATATAAAGAAACTGAGGCAAACAGGTTGAGTGACTTGCCCAGGGTCACACAGCTAGTACGTGTCTGAGGCCAGATTTGAACTCAGGAAGATGAATCTTCTTGACTTTAGGCCCAGCACTCTATCCACTGAGTAACTGCCATGAGAGAAAAATGAACTTTAGGCCTCTTGAATTTAAGTCTAGTGAATTTTCCACTAGACCAACAGGTTTCCATTCAGTAATTTAAACTCACACATACACATACATATGCATATACACATACATGCACATGTACCACCTCTAGTACCACCACACACAAATTTAATAAATTTGTGATTGAATCACCTCACTTGATTGACTCATCCAAATCCATTATAGATGACTACTTCAATTAAGCTCCTTTCTCTTAGTTTCAGTGTGACAAATAGGTATGAGGTGTACATTGAATGTTAGCTAATGTAGGTCCCCTGAAGATAATGATCAAAATACAGGACCAATAATGGGAACTCTATTTTCCTTAAAGTCGTGAGTTGAAATAATTTATTGGAAATTGCAAAGGCAGTTCGTTAAAGGTCTCTGACTCATCTTGGTTAACAATTTGAAATAGCTTGGCCAAATGCTTAGGAAACTAAGAAAATGGCCTCATTTCTGCACCCTTGAGGAACACGGCTGCCCAGATTGGCTCTATCTCTAGGACAGACACATAATCTTTTTCTAGTGCCTGCTTTCAGGCTCTGGACAAAAAAGAAACAACTCAAAATGTTCAAGTGTACCAAGGACTTGTGGCTAATTTGTGCCCATATGTTTTCCATCTCTTGTAATTATGCAGGAGGTTAATTTGTGAATATCTGAGTACCTGAAAGGAAGACCAAGATAGAGTCCATGGAGCCAGATGACTGATTTATCAGGCTCTGATAAATAAATAAAGTCCTGAGCCTTAGACCTCGATATACAATACTGCCTGCCTTTGTAATTTATATGCAGGATTTATGCCATGACCTAAAAATCCATCCCTTGGTAGCCAACCCCTATGGTGATGATCTTCTCTGAGTCTAGTTAAACAAGTCCTCAGAGGACAAATACACAGTTGCCCAAAGCAGCCTGGTATAGGGTATAGGGCAGAGGACTCAGTGTCCAGAAGACCTGGGTTCAAATTCCATCTCAGATCTTTACTAGCTGTGGGACATTGGGCAAGTCACTTAACCTCTCTTTGCCTCAGTGTCTTCATCTTCAAAACAAGATGGTTAGACTTATCGGCCTCTAAGGCATCTTCGAACTTTATTCATAACCCACATTTAAGCTTGCTTGGTAGCATGGAAGGTGGGGGCTTGGTACAGTGGGAAAAGCTCCAGATTTAGTGTCAGAAGACCTATGTTAGATTCCTGGCTTTGCTATTTACTGACTGTATCACCTTGAGAAAGTCATCTAATATTTCTGGGCTTCAGTCTTCTCATCTGTAAAGTAAGTGGGTTAGGCTGGATAATATCCAAGATATCACTTGGCTCTAAATCCAATGACTCCAGAGTTTGTGCTCTGTTGGTATGGTTTCCTCCATGGCAAAGAAAAATGAGATTTAAGGAAAACTGGAAATACTCTAAATTGTCACCTCCCCCTTCTCATATTTCTATGATGCTTTATAATTTTAAAAAGTGTTTTATTCCAACATGACTCTGACGTAAGGAGTGCAAGTATTATTCTTCCCTCTTCACAGATGGACACTGAGGCTCAGAGAGAGGCAATGGCTTGCACATGGCCACATGACTAAGTATCAGGGGTTTCCTGACTCCTGGAACTCCTTGTACTACATTTTGTAACCTTCTCTTTCCTTCTTTCCTCGTCTTGTCCTCTCTCTGGCTGCCTACATGTATTAACTCCTTCAAAAGCTCTCACAGCAAGAAAAAAATAGCATAAGAAAGATAGAAATAAACCAGAGGAAGGTTTGTGATGGCAATGATTTTCAGATTGACCAAGCAAAAACCAAGCTCCATTTTCCCTGATTCATTCAAATTCCATATTCCCCATCATGTCTCCAAAGTAAGAAAAACATAAAGATACCAATAATTTTCACTTGAGAAAAATGGGAAGGGGGAGGTATTGATTTAGAGTCTTTCCAGTTTTCCTTAAATCTTATTTTTCTTGAGTTTTTTGTTCTTCATTCAATAAGCACTTATTAAATGTCTGTTGTATACTAGTCATAGTACTAGGTACTGGGGGATAAAAGGGCAAAAACAAAACATACCTTGCCCTCAAGGAGCTTACTTTCTGGGGGGGAAAACTACATCTACATACCCAATTAGATAAAAAATAATTTCTATGAGGATGTCAATCACAACTGGAGACTCAGGATAAGCCTTCCCAAGTCTTGAGGAGGTAGGACAAGCTAAGCTTTGAAGGAAGCTCTAGGGATTCTAAGAAAAAGCAGTGAGGAGGGAGGCATTCTAGAAAAAAGGGGAACAGCCTATGCAAAGGCAGGGAGATGATATATGGAATGTCTCTTATTGAGAAACTCAAGTCGACCATTCGTCTGGAACACAGAGTGTATGACGAAGAAGAACGTTCAATAAGCCTGGAATGGCAGGCTGGAGACAGATTATTAAGGGCTTTAGAAGTCAAACAGAGGAGTTCATACTTTATTATTCTAGATACAAGAGAAAACCACTGAAGTGTTTTGAGCAAAGGACTGACATCGTCAGCCGTATTTTTTTTTTTTTTAGGAATTTCAATTTGTTGGTTGGGTGGAGATTGGATAAGAGAGAGAGGAAAGCTGCAGACCGAAAGACCAATCAGCAGGCGATTTCAATAGCCTAAACAAGATATGACGAGGGCTAAACTAATGAGAGAGCAGCTAGGGATATGATGTGAAAGATATTGTGGGAGTAGAAAGATGACTTGGCAACTGATTGGATTTGAAGGGTGTGAGAGAGGAAACAGCGGATGAAGACTCTACAGTGGTAAGCAAACCTAGGTGCCTGGAAGGATGATAGTGCCATGATAACAAAGAGGGAACTTTGAAAAATATTTTTTTTAGCAGAAAGGTAAGAATTCTATTTTTGGACATGATACCTACATGACACTCCCAATCAGGAGTTTTCGGAAGAGACTTGGAGATCAGGAGCTAAAATATATAAATCTGGGAGTCATCTTCAAATAGGTGATAGCTGAATCAATTGGAACTGATGAGATCACTCAAAGAGACCATAAAGAAGAGAGGGCCTTGGAGGAGGAGGGCTGGGATAGATCCACATACAGAGAGTGGCACATGAATGTTGATCCACAAAAGATGAGTGAGAAGGAGTTCAACCAAGTCAGAGGAGAATCAGGAAACAGTACAGTCATGAAAACTCAAGGAGGACAGAATGTCTAGGAGGTGGGGATAGTCAACACTGTCAAATGTTGCAGAGAGGTCAAAGAGAATGAGGACTCAGAAATGGCCGTAAGGTTTGGCAATGAAATGATCCTAGTAACCTCAGAGGGAGCAATTTCAGCTGAGTGGTGAGAATGGAAGCTATACTGTTAGACATTGAGAGGTGAGAAAGCAGAGGCAATGCATAAGACTTTTTTCCAAGGATTTTGAAAAGGAGCAGAGATACTGGTTGACCTAACAGCTTGAGATTATGGAAGGATCAGGTGAAAGTTTTTTGTTAAGGATATGAGATATTTAGGTATATTTATAAGCAGTGAGGAAGGAGCTGAATGCATAAGAGCATATTAAAAATAAAGCAGAGAGAAGAGATTAATAGATGGGACAGGCTCCAAGAAGAGATGAGAGGGAATGGAATCAAGAGCATAAGTAATGGGGTTGGCTTGTGTGTGGTTTGCCTTTTGTTCCCAGAAGAGGACCATGACATCAGGAAGATGGTGGCATAATATGCAAGTGAATTGGATTTAAGTGAGGGAGGGCTGTGCAAAGTCACCAGTCTCACTTTCTCCTCGAGGGCCATCTGGGTCCAGTGGCCAGATATAGATCAGGACAGCTAGAGATGGCCTGGGATGCAGCGGGAACCTTTGCTTTTTTAGGCTGAGGACTTTCTGAGCTCTCACTTTGACTGAAGGAACACCCATTCAGTAGGTTGGCACTAGTAAGCAGAAGAGCTCTTTGTTCTGAGATTAAATCTAAGGAAGATAGAATGGGGAAGGGTGATGCTGAAGTGAAGTGTAGAACTGAGGAAAAGGAAGAGCACTTAATGAATGGCCTTATTTTCTTTTCTTCGGTAAAAGAGATCAGATGCTCTGGTGAGATCCAGAGTGGGAGGGCTAGCAAAGGTCACTTGCAGAAAAAAAAAGAGAAGGCTTAGAGCAGATGCTGTGGTGAGTAGAATAAGAAGTGAATTAGTAAAGAGTAAAAGGATGGGCATATAACAACAGAGGTCCAGTTAAGATTACATATGATAAACTTGTGGTGAACACTCTGCATGATTGTGTGACTTTGGTAGCACATGTGTGGAAATGAAAATGGCATAAGGTAGGAATAATCCAAGATTGGAGTTTGAAAAGAGATTGGGGCAAGAGAAAAAGAGAACAAGGAAATCAAGGGTAGAGGGCAGTGGAAAGTTGATCTGGTCAAGTGCAGGATGTAGACTCCTAAGATAGAAAAGCAAGGGCGTATGAGGCTGGATAGGACGGGAAAGAAGAGAAAGGCACAGTGATAGAGGGGATAGTCATGACAAAAGAGTTTTAAGAGAGATGTGGCATAGGGAGCACTGGAAGGACAGCCATCTATGGTCATGTAAATCTCATTACATGGGTAGAACACTTGTGAGTGATATGATTTTTTCTGTGGGACTTAAATGGAGCAATGATGTAGATGAGTGGTGTCAAACTAAGTAGGAACAGGAGCCACAAAATCATATATAGGGATCTTTAGAGGCCACATTTTGAGTTAGAAAAATGCATAATATGTTTTATTGTATTTTTTATTTTGTTAAATTTTTCCCAATATCATTTTAATCTGGTTCAGGCTGCACTCGGGAGCTGTGTGGGTGTTTGACACCTATCATGTAGATCGTGGACCTCAAGGAGATTGATAAACTGGAAATCTGGTGTATTTGAGGGACATCAACCCTCTGTTTACCTTCATGTAAAGTTCATTCCTCATGTCTTCATTAATGAGGCAACGTGGAAAATGAGAGAGAATGACAGTCTCTAAATATCTTGAGGCAATTTAGAGCAATTAAAGAATCAATCAGTAAATTAGTTATGACTTATACAACCTGAGGAAATGCTATCTTGATCATACGTATTTAATCAGTTGATGAGGTCCTTAAACTTGTCTGTACATGAAGCTATTCTTGAAAAAGTTCTGGATGAGCCAAGAAAAATCTACAAATAAAGAGAAAAAAAAAGAAGAGAAGAGAAAAAGAAATAGAAGAGAAAAACAGAACTTAGGTCTGATCCTTCCCTAAAATAACTAAGTTATTTCCATGATTGACAGGCTACAGTTAGATTACAGATGTCTGTCTAAAGACACTGGTTCTGACTTTGCTTTTATAGCAATATGAAACCTCAGACTATCTATTCAAAACTAGTAGATGCTTATTTTCTAATTACCCACTTGCCATATTTCTCATAAATAGTCTCATAAATGGCATCTCAACATTTCACATGCTCTCAAGCTCCCCAATTTTCAATGAAATGGCAGGCTTCCTCATCAGCATCCATTTTACTCTCTTACTCAAAAACTTTCATTCATTCCTTGTTGCCTATTAGGATAAAACACAAACCGAGGCTGGCTCTTTTCCTGTTTTTGTGCATTTTTTCAGCCTGTCTTCCATCTCTAGAACACAATTCTTCTATATTTCCATTTCTGAGGCCCCATTCAGGTGTCACTGCTTCCAAGATGACTGGATCCCAAGGATTCCAAGATTTCCTATTCCTCCATGAGGAAAGTATGTCTTCTTCCCAAAATTTCTTATTGTATTATATCTGAATCTCATCTTTTCTCCTAACTCATTCTACGTTATATCCTACTTATTTGTCTTCCTAATTGATTCTTCAAACAGAGTATAAGCTCCTTGAGGGTAGGGACTTTATAAGTTCACATACACACACACACACATACACACTTATATATATGTATGTATGTATGCATGTATGTATGTATGTATGTATGTATGTATGTATGTATCCCTAGCACCTAGCACAGGACATTGTACATAGTAGGAATTTAACATTTGTTGAATTGGACTGAACCATCAAATGTTTGTGCATTTAAAAAATTCAGGGTATGTTAAATGTAATTAGTGTATTTACGGTTTTAAATGAAGCATGGCTTCAGAATGCAGCTGATGTTAAATAACAATATTATAAAAAACACTGTGCAGGTGTGACTGGTAAGAAGTGAAAACTTTGAAAAAAGCTCATCTATCCATCCATTCATCTATCAATCTATCTATCTATCTATCTATCGTTAGGTCCCAGCTAGTGTGAACAATGAATTTTGTAAAATGGTCTCATTTATTTAAATTTGCAAGTTAATTCAAGTTTGAAATTACAATTATGTAAAATATGCTCACTGGTTGCAGCTTAATGGAAACATACAGTACAACTTTCAAATAATGTGAGCATTTCATGGGATTCATTAACACTAACTGAAACCTAGCACGCTCTCTCTCTCTCCCTCTCTTCCCCCTCTCTCCCTTCCCCCCCCATAACACCTATATATAATAGATATGATCTATACACATATAATATGAATGCATTACATATGTGTGTATATATACATATACAGTATGTACATGTATATACATACCTACATATATGAATTTATGTGTAGGTATACAAATATAATGCACAAACACATGTGAATGCACGTATATGTGTATGCATTATATTGTCTTATGTAAATATATGTATGTAAATAAAATATGTAAAATATGTATATATTGTATTACGTTATATGTTGTATTATATATTATATTGTATTTTACTGCATTATATATTATATATAGTATGTGACATACATATTATATGTTCAAGTATTGTTTCGTATTAATGAAATTTTGAGATGTCAAGTTTTCAGAGTGATGTTGATCTGGCTGCTATAAGTAAGTGTAATACCTGTTTTTCTTGGTCAAGTAGTTCCTGAAAAAGTGTCCATTGCTTTTCTCGGCATCGTTCTGACTTCTCCAAGTCAAGGGCTCCACTGCGTTGAACATCTTGCTTCAAGTGCTCACATTCTCCCAAGGAAAGGCCAGTCACTCCCAAGAGCGTATGAAGAAATGTTTCTTCTATGAGTTTTTCAAAAGTTTGGATGCTACTGCTATATAGCTCCTAAAAAATAAAAATATAAATGAGCAGAATCAATCCTGCAGGATTACACTGCCTTAGAACAGCAATTGGGGGCCATGTGGGGTGATGGAAAGAGGGTTCACCTTGGACCTGGAATCAAGGCTCCGACATTCAGTACCTGTGAAATTGTGGGCATGACATTTTCTCTCTCTGGTGTCTTACTTTCTTATTTACAAAATGAGAACTCCCAAGTCCTTGACCCCTTTCTGTAGGAATGGCCATGTTGCCTGGTTGGAAGTTGGATAGAAGCTGGCTTAGAGTTCAAGTCCTACTTCTGACATAGATGAGCTAGGTGATCTGGGTGAGTCACTTAACTTTACAGCATTCAAGGCAACTAAGGCTATAAGTTGCAGAGCAGGTGGGGACCTGTACTAAATTAATGTACTCAACTACATTTGCTTTATATTAAATTGTGCATAAGTTGTATTCCTCCCTCTTCTGCTCACCCAGTAGAAGGTAAGCTCCTTGAAGGCTGTCACTATTTTGTTTTTGTCTTTGTATCTCCAATGCCATGCTTAAAGCCTTGTTCACAGTAGGCACTGTTTATTGAAATGAATCAAATTCCAGCTCTAATGAACTGAATCCTGCTAATGAGACTTGTTTTAATGCCTTCTGTCTGATACATTCAGAGAACCCACCACCACTCTTTATTGACCAGTAAGGCAATGCTAAAGTGATCTGATGTCTTATCCAGTTCACAATGTCTAGAATCAAGGGCTTGGTGAGATGGTGTAATTAAAAGCAAGACGAAGGAGACAAAGATGAGCATCTGTCTTGATGTGCACTCCTCCAAAGTCTTCATCTCAAGTAAGAGTCCTGTTGATTGGTGAACTAAAGGTCCTCCTTAATCATCAAAAGCTTTCTGGGAAGGGCAGCACACTATATTATCACCAACTCCTTTGCAACTGAACTATTAGAACCCATTTATACTAAATGATCAGAATCCATTTTCATGCTAATTAGAATAATTAAAATTTCCTGGTCAATTAATGTACACACACACAATTAATTTACACACACACACACACACACACCACCACCACCCTTATAAGGATGGATCAGATAAGGCAATAACAACATTTGGAATGTATGATGCAGATCACACACCTTCTACCCTCTAGTCATTCCCTTTCCACATTTTCTGCTTCTATTTGTTTTTCTCCTTTGATCTGCTTTGGCTCTTGAAAGTCAATATCTTGCCTTTCCTTTATCCCAGGAAGAATTGGAAGTCTATGATCCATTGTTTTCTCCAAAGAGTTAGAACTCTTCCAAGTTACTTTTGAAAGTTTTCCAACTCCCTAGTTATGACCTCACATGTCTCTCATGAATTTATCTTATAATACTGTGCATTAACATTATTTGTTTATGACACATCTTCCTAGTAGACCAGGAATTCCATGAAGGTGGTTACTTTAGCTTATGTGAACTTTGTATCTTTCCTAGTGCCTAGCCCAGTGCTCTGTACCCAGAAGGTGTTTAATAAGTGCGTGGGTGTGAGATCTTATAGCTGTAATCCCTGCTACCGAGGCTGAGGCTAGTGGACCACTTGAATTTGGAAGTTCTGAAATTCAGTGTGCTAAGACTATTAGGAGTCTGCACTGTCTAGTACCAATGTGGTGAGTCCCTGGGAGCAGTGCTTTAGGAGAAGCAAGCCAGGCCAGGCTGAAAATGAAACAAGTCAAAAATCCCGTGCTGACCAGCAGTGGGTTGGCCCCATGACTAGGTGCTGCACTTCCAGCCTGGAAGAGATAGGGAGACCCAACTTACCCTCCCCCGATAAAAATGGGGCAAGAAGGAAGGAAACAAGGCAGGCAGGCTGGAGGACTACCTCACCACAGTTAGAGACAGATCCTTTAATGAGGGAATGTAATTACCTACTTTTCTTATAAAAGAAAACAAAACTTCTATTCAGAGATTTATTGTTCGTTAAAATACTCACAAAAGAGCAACATGTTGTTTCCAGAGATACTACCTTTTTTTAGTTTCTTTCAAAATTCCCTTTGGTAAAACAGAGTATATTCTCCATTTGATAAGTGTTCTTAAATTAGTCTATACGCAGGATGACAGACAATTGTAAACGTTTTTCAAAACACTTCAACAAAAACTGTATTTTTAAAAAAGATTCTGAGATAAAATCTAGACTTCATCTGTATGATGGGGATAATTGGACATGCGTTACCTCTCATGGGGCTGTTGGGAGGATCAAATGAGATAATGCATGTCAACCCAAATCATCATCATCATCATCATCATCATTAATAAGCAAATGGCAGTAGTATTAGGCAGTGGAAAGAGCGCCGGACTGGAGTCAGAAGAGCAGGGTTTCAACAGCAGGGTAGATGGTCACCTTTGCTCCTTCTCCAACTCATCTGCTCTTCCCATCTCCCCATCTCCTGTCCCCGACAGGCACAAATGCCTTGCATAATTCATCATCCTGTGCCATATTCTGGAAGCCTCAGGCCAGGTCTTACCCACATCATACTGTGACTTCTCCACTACACCTCTCCTCATGTTTCACTGTGGCCAAGGGTTAACTGTGAGTTCTCAAAGTCCAGGTAAGCAAAGCAAAATGGCTGGCAGGTTCTATCAAGCCGGGAAGATTTCAAATACAGGCTGATGAACTAACTGTCTGAAGACCAAATTAGCTAAACCTGAAGAAGTTCCTTACCAGCAGGCTGGCAAACAGGTGATGGTTAATTGATTGACTGCTTTTGGCATAGCAACCTAGGAAACCATATACTAAGGTCTTTAATAACAACAATAATAAAAAAAAAGCTAACATTTATATAGCACTTACAATGTATCAAGCACTCTGCTAAGTGCTTTTCAATTATCTCATGTGATCCTCACAGCAACTGTGGGAGGTAGGTGCTATTATTATCCCCATTTTACAGATGAAAAAACAGAGGCAAAAGCAAAACAAAACAAAACAAAACTTGAAAGGGGTCACTTGCCCTGTTGACAGCAGGTAATTTGCCTATGGACTAATAAGAATAATGTTTTAGTTACATAAAATAGAACACATAAAATTACAAAAGAAACCAATTTCATTGAAATAATGACGCTTTTTTTTTCCAATTCAAGTTCATGCACCACTTGAAATCAATCTATAGACCTGGGTTACAAATTCCTATCGCTCAAGGTGGCAGTATAGCGCCCTTTTCCTAGAGTGGGTGGTCCTAATACTACACCACCACAGTTCTTTTAAATACTATAGTATATGTCAAAGCCTGTGTGACAGCTGCCAATTTCTCTGACCCTTGGGAACTTTCCAACTTAACAGCTCAAGAACCACCTCCCTTGAATTTCTTCACATTCCTGTGGTAATTCCTGATTGCTAGCTGAGATTCTGCTGTTCTGCGAAAGACCAGGGTATATTTAATTTGGAGGGTTTTTTTTTTAAAAAATTTGGAATGAAAATAAGTTTTAAAAAATTGTTTTTTTTAAAAGGGACCATTCTTTCTCCCTAAAAGTTCAGGCTACTCTGTTCTACCATCTGGCCCTTCAGTTAGGCATAACGCATAACTTAACTCAACTTTTTTGATGCTGTCAAGCTACTATATACTCAAATGGATTTCTGATCTCATTGATTTGGAAGTTCTCTCCAAGGATGCAAATTACATTCTATCCATGTCCTCTCATAAAATGACTGTAGGGATCCACCCAGTATGCTGGAGACCTTCTTTGCTTCTTCTTGACAGTGGAAAAGAACTAATGGAGCACTCCGGGCATCTGTCTTTGCCACATGAGCAGTCCATTTTCATTACTGTTATCATCATCATCACCATCATCATCACCATCATCATCACCACCATCATCATCATCACCATCATCATCATCATCATCATTTTCCTGTACATAATTCCTTGATGCTGTATTTCACTGCTGTTCTTTAGGGTTCCCCATCAGTTATGTATTACAGTCTGCTCAGACTTACCATGTACCTTTCCATTTTCTTCTGTTTGATTCTCATATAAATTTCTTTGAACAGACTCTTTTATTTCATGTTTAATACCACACGGCATCACTATTAGAATGTTGGTATTAGCAATATGAGCCTCTGCTTTCATGGGAAGCTTAGAATCACTAACGAGCTTCACAATTTCCTGAAGGCAATCCTACATGTTCTCTTCTTGTTCAACTCTGGGTGCAGCTCATCGCCTACCACTATTTTACTATCCATCAATTCACTGAATGAGAGGATTTTTTAAAATGCTTGAACTCATTTCAGTATCACCTAGTAAGTCTTAACATTCTTCTTTCCTTTTCTACAAGATCAGCCTCAGTGCAGGATGTAAAGGAGATACCATAGACACAAGTACCAATTTTACATTTTTGTTTGTTTCATGAGTTGCCACACCCAGAGAATCCATTACCTAGGGGCTCATCTACTGAGGATAACCTTAGCAGTTCTTAGTAGTGGTTCTTAGCAAGCTAATTTTTTTCTTTCTTTCTTCTTCTTCTTTTTTTTTTTCTGTAATCCAGGATGACTGTCAAGGAAGAGGAGTAACTAGAGAATGTGGGTTTTCCCAAAAAATGTTAAAAATCAACAACCAAGCAAACAACTGAACAAGTATAAGATAAAGGAAGGGAGAAAGGTAGCAACTTATGTCAAAAAGAGATCTGGCGATTTTAGTGGGTTCCAAGCTGATACTGTATAAGTCAACAATGCAATATGAGAGCAAAAACAGCTTATGAAATAGTAGGTTGCCTTAAAAGAGTCATAATGTTTGAGATCTGAGAGGTGATGGTCTCTCTGCCTGAATCAAATCGCATCTGGAGTATTGTGTTCCATTCTAGGGCTCATATTTTAACAACTGGTAACCTGGAGCATGTCCAGGATAGACTGCAAGGATTATGAATGCCTCAAGATAATGCCATGTAAGGGTCAGTTGAGGGAACTGGAGATAGCTTGGAAAAGAAGAGACTCAGGTAGGACATGAAAGCTACCTTCAAGTATTTGAAGGGTTGAATTAGGCTTG